GGTGTTGATGACGAAACCTCACCATTTTTAGCTGTCAAAGTATCCTTTAGGGTGCACTCGAAGAAATAATCAAAGAAACACTCTCATTTAATTTCTGTTTTTAGGCTTGATTTCCGCTGATCTCTCGGGTACGCGAGTCGGGTCTACAAGTGCGCGCGGGATCCTTTCTTGAACAGTGGCTGGCAACTGAACCTATTCCGTTGTTAAGTTGTATCTTTTAGGGGTCTAATGAAGCTCGAGCAACCCCCCATTAGTCTCCTTTAGGGGTTAAATTCAATTTAATGCTAATGCCAATGCTAATGCTAATGTTAATGCTAATGCTAATGATAATGATAATGATAATGATAATGATAATGATAATAATAATAATAATAATAATAATAATAATTAACAATAATAATAACAATAATCACCTTTATTTATTGAGGGTAGCACACAATAGTAATCACTGAAAAACTAGTGGCCCTCATAAAAATATTTACAGAATAAAAAGATGACGATAATATGAGAAACTAAGATATGAGGCATACTAAAATATTAAAAAGTAAAGCAGTGGATCAAGTCTAACATTTCTAACAAGAAAGTTAAAAATTTAGATGATCAAATGGTCCAATTCCCTACAACTGTCCAGAAAACGTTTAAAAATGGATTTTTTGGTTCTAAATGTCTAACAAGAAGTGAAGGAGTGATGGAGTGAAATCGCTCCACCACTACAACTTGGAAAATAATATTTACCAAATTAAAAACTGAAAATCCATTTGCATGAAGAAATTGGACAATATAATATTTTGTTACATTTATTGTTTTTGGACTTGCTAAATTCATTAACTAACATAAAATGTAATTTGTCATATATATCATTACCATTCACAAATTCTAAGGTTGTGCAACGATTCAGAATCTGTTACTTAAAGGAGCTACGTCACGGTTTTCACATCTTGAAAAGTCTAGCCTAAAATTTTCAAGTTTGTTGATTGTAATCCGTGTTAATCTTCTCTATCCTCAACCATCTTTGTTCCTTTATGGACTGTTATTATCTCTTTGGCGTTTTTCTGTCTTGGTAAACTACTATTTTCAGGTTTCCTCCAAATATTTAAAGGTAATTATTTACGTGGCTGATATAACTGCAAAAACTGTGACTGAGCTCTTTCAAGGAGGCTGGCAACAGTTTCTAGCACTTTTACTACAGCTATACTTTGAACGATGAATACTA